AATTAATTAAATTAATTATATTTATATTATATTTTAATAATTAAATTGAATTAATATGAAAAAATTGTGTCAAATTAAAAATATATTAATTATTATTATTATTTTACTATACCCTCTGACAAAATGGGGAACGGGTCAATTACTCAATTCGTTATTAATATCTTGGTCAAGTTCACGGGTCCTTTTATGATTATTGGCGCAAAATGTGGGACGGGTCAATTTCCGAATTCGGTGTTAATATGGTGAAGTTGACCTCATTATAGTTTTTTTTCCCTTTCTTTTAAGTTTTATTCTAAAATGTACATTTACAGTATAAAAATACTTTTTATAATAAATTTATATAAAAAATATAAAATTTAATATTAATTTTAATAATATTATTATTTAAATAAATTTAATTAATTAGTTAATTAAGTATTACCTTTTTCTTTTAGATCTCTAAAAATACAAGTTAAAAAAAATCTACCTTACCGTATAAAACAGAGACTGGGATTGGTCAATTTGGCATGTTAGTTGACGTTGTTGGTTGTTCACCATTTTTTTCCCTTTATTTTAATGGGCCCTTCTACCCGTTACTTTAGAGGAAGATTAGGACGGGTCAATACTCAATTTTGTATATTGGTACGAGAGAAAGAAAAACTAACTTTTTTTTTATATAAAAAATATTAAAATTTTTAATTATAATTATTAAATATATAAAATATTATAAATTTTTTTTTTTTGAACAGATTGACAAGGGGTTGGGTCGAACCCAACCCAAGAGGAGGAGGGAGTGAGTTGACTTCAAACTCGAAACCTATGAAAAGTCTTATGCGAGGAGCTACCACTTGCTATATTAAGAAGTTCTCTTATTTTTATTGAATTTACCATAAAATTATTATTATACATGTAGGTCTTGATTTTTTTTTTCTCGCCTTCTTTTACCTTTCATTTTAATGGGTCCTTTTTACATTTAAGGACTCGTCAGAAATTGGAGAAGGGCAAATAAGCCTTTTAAATTGATTGGCATAAGTATAGCATATTGTCATTTGATTTATTGCACAATACAGGAAGTTCCGTGTTTGTAGGTAAGACAAAATATTAACTCTTAAATGATAAAGTATGCACTCATTTTTTAAGGATCTCCATCCTTTATTCACCGCAATACTATATTTACTATTATTTAGGATTGTAAATTTGTAATTATTATATAATATTTAATAAATATAATATGATATTAAATTGATAAATATATATAATATTATAAATAAATTATTAAATTTCTATTATATATATATATA